CCGCCGCGCCCCCGGCGCCGCGCCCCGCACCGCGCCTCACCGCGCGCCCCCTTCTCTCTCCGCAGCCCTGACAGTGTCTCCCACGCCGGTGGTGTTTTGTTTTGCTTTTGCTTTTTTTCTTTTTTTTTTTTTTTTAATTTATTTCGAGTCTCTATTTTTTTTTCTTTTGTTCTTACTGCTTCAACTTTTTTATTTATTTTTATTTTTATTTTTAGCGACAGCTCTCAAACCTACTTTGGGGTCTTAAAACGAAACCGTACACCATTTCACTGTGGACATTACACCCTCTTACAGATATGGGAGACATGGGAGACCCACCAAAAAGTAAGGCGGAATTTTTACCGTTGTTGGAATAAATGTGCTGTCTATTGTAATCGTCTCAGGCAGGAGAACTGCTAAAGAGCTGAACTTCATTTGAATGGTAGAGTAGGTGCCTTTGTTGCCATGCCTGCATGCTTGCTGTATTTTAACCTCGTAGCCTTGTATGTTAATAGCCTGAGGTCCTGCTCTCTTTTAAAGTTTGGGGAGCAGACAGGATTTAAATGGGATCTCCAACCACAGAGCCTTAAATTCTCCTCGTGCTAGACTGCGGTGAGGCTGCCTGACTCTACAGCACCTAGTCCATCTAGGCGAATTAGCATTAGACTTGCAAAAGAGAGCAAGTGACAACCGTAATGATGTTGTTCTTGCCAGCAGTTTCGAGTCCCGTCTTCTGTGGCAAAGGGCTGAATGGGAAGCGCATCCAGCCACACGTTCATCGTTCCAGTCGGAGCCTCTTAAAAAATTAAATAAAGCATATAGGTGATCTCCACGTAAGGCAAAGAGTCCAAACGAGCAAACAATAAAATAAAAATAAAACGAGGGAGTTTGGAGTTTTGATTCCTTGCAAGGCTTGCAAAAGGAGAACCTTCACCCCGAGGACTGTTCGCATCTGCATTTTAACATATGTTCCGCCTTCTTTCTAAACGAGGCAAGGTTTTGATGGCACACTTCAATTACCATCCATAAGTGTAATACTCTTAAAAAAAAAAAAAAAGAAAGAAAACAAAACAAAAAACAACACTCTCAGAGTACACCCTATAAGGGAACGACACTAGAAGTATGTTTATCTCTGTAGGAGAGTAAATGGTTAGTCAATCATGTATTTATTTTCATTTCAGAAAAACGCCTGATTTCCCTATGTGTTGGTTGCGGCAATCAAATTCACGATCAGTATATTCTGAGGGTTTCACCGGATTTGGAATGGCATGCGGCGTGTTTGAAGTGTGCAGAGTGTAATCAGTATTTGGACGAGACCTGTACGTGCTTTGTTAGGGATGGCAAAACCTACTGTAAAAGAGATTATATCAGGTACGCCATTTACGTTGTTTAATTATTCGGTGAGATTTTTTTTTTTTCCTTTATGAATCTAACAGAGGCAGAAAGAGGAAAAAAACCTGAGAAAGACGGTGAAAAGACAATTTGTATGTTTTTAAGTGATTTCTCCCACAGTTAGACAGGCAACGAAAAAAGTTAGTCGTCAAGTTTTTTATCCCATAGATTCAAATGTAAATTTCTGTATAAACAAAACAACATTCGAGAAGAACTAGCTATCGACCCTCCTGAGAATTTTGGCAATGCATCCTGTGATTCTAACAAAGTGGGAAATCGTAGGTAATGGAGAGTATATTCAATAGTGTAGATATTATGAGCAGCACGGTACTGATCGCTTTTTAGTACAATCTGAGAAACGCATCTCTGGGTTTTTGCAAAAGCATAATGGCATTAATAAGAAAGACACTTCAAGCATGTATGCCGTAAAAATAAATACACAGGAAATTCCCCCCCCCCCTTTAAACTGGGCCTATTAAAAAAAAAAAAAAAAAGGAAACCAAAAACAAAACCGAAGTTTCCTTCAGAATGAAGGATCCTTTTATGGGGAGGTTAAAACCTAAACCGAAATGTTTCTTCGCTAAAATAACTGACATTGAATCTTTTTAAATATTAACCCCTTTGGTGATATCTGACTGCCTTTTCTTTCTTATCTTATCTGTACTGATGAATTAGACAGAGCAGATCAAATTGCCCATCATCTGTTCGCGAACAATTGGGTATATTTAGATAATGGAACTGCTTCCTTCCTCACATTAAAATCTGGTAACTGATAAAATGTGAGAGTTGCCAAACCTGACACTACAGTGAAACCAAACCAGGAATTTCGAGTGTCTTTATTATTTGTGCTCCTGGGTCATGCTGATCCATTTCAGTGTCGTCTACTAGGTTTGCCAAAACAGAACTTTGTATGACACTGAGGTATGGTCAGTATTTTTTTACTGAAAGTTTTGGGAGCAAGTACTTACCTAGCCATCTAAGATATCTTTTATAGTTTATTTGTAATTTTGAATTGAAATAAATCACTTGAGTCTCTCCTTCTCCAGTGCACCATTCATAAGCAGATCAAGCCATGTTGTGACATTATATTCAAAGTTTTACCATGGCGAAAAACAGCCCATATTTCCTCCGCACCCACCCCCCACCCCCACCCGCTTTACATTTAAACGCACCTCGGAGCCGTGCTTTTAAATGTTGTCCTTTCACTAATTTCAGATTAAAGGAAAATGTTTGTACTGGGGTGTTCACATACCTCCTGCTAGAACTCAGCAGGCAAAATTAAACAACAACAACAAAAAAGCAGCTCTTTTATATTAATACGCAACACATTTAATTTGCTACAATTTTAAAAGTAAGATATGAGTTATGTGCAAGTCGGCTTTGGATTAGACCGTGAGCTAATCTATAATTGTCAGACATGTGGACAACCCCCCAACTGTTGTACCTATTAATGCATACACTTTGCGATCGCTATGTTCTTATGCTGTTTAGCAGTTTGTTTGGCGGGTTCTCTTCTCAAAACCTTATAATTCGGAAACACGTATCTCTGAATATAGGCTTAGTACAGCTCTCTAGACATAGTAGCCAAATACGTCTGTAAATATACAGCTCTACCTACAAGCATACCTCACAGACTGTATCTCTAAGGGAGTGCACTGGTGAGGAAATGCGTGGGGATGAGTATTAGCTCAGTTTTAGGAACAGCTTCTACAGTTCTGTGAACCGTGTGCGTACACGTATGTGCGTGTGTCCGAACACTTGCGGGAAGATGTTAATTTTACTTAATACCAAGGAGGCTGGCTAAGGAGCACTCGGCGGGAGCCGAGGGATAGTGCACTTCTAGACATCCGAGCTGCAGCGTTTTCTCTACTGATGTTCATCCATTGATGGTTAAATGTCCCCCTCTCCTCCTCGGGAGACGAGGAACCCTCCATCCACTCCAGAAACCCTTTATTTTCCGCGTGGGGCTATCAGGGAGAAGCTGCCCTTTCAACTCCAGCCTGTCCCTCCTCAAGGTGGGAGCGCCAGGGGAGACAGGGCAGTGAGGCGGAGGTAGGGGCAGGATGCAGAGTCAAAGCACCCAAAATGCCGGTTATTAGGGCCAGGCGAGGATAGTTACACTGCTATATATGTGAGCGTGTGTGTATATATAAAGGGGTGTGTGTGTGTGTGTGTGTGTGTGTGTGTGTGTGTGTCTTCCTATACTGTTGTATAAAGTGAACCTGGTGAGAGGGGAAAGGGGAAGAGCCCCGGTCCCTGGCAGAGCCACCCTGCCGCGTCCCAGAGCCCCAGTAGCCCGGGCACGCATTAAGCGGCAGAAGTCCTGAATGGGTTCCTCGCAAAAATAATACCATTTAGTGAGGCTGGTACGTTTGTGCGTGGGTAGTGGACGGCAGCTTCGCCAGCCTCGCCTTTCCCCGCTCCACCCGGGCAGTTCGTTTCAGTCCCGGGCCAGGCTATGTCAGGTCCCTCCGCCGTGAGGAGCGAGGGAGAGGGCAGGGACGGCCCATCGTCTGCATCCCGGGCGCTGGGGCAGGAGGGAGAGAAAGGTCGGCATCTCCTCGGAAAGGAAAGGGGTCGTTTTTTTTGTTTCTTCCCCAGTTCCTTCTTCCACCCCCGCCGCCCCTTCGCTCCCCCCTCTCCCT